CATTTTGTATTAAAGCTTGGCTAGCTATTGAGGGAATATTAGCAGAAGATTCTCGTTTTGGACAACATATTTTGATTACTCTAATTGGATTTGGTTCTAATTATTATATTGAGAAAAATTATAATGTTAGTGATTTTAACTATAAAGTAGTTTTTGTCATTAATTGGCCTAAATATACAATATATGTATCCTCTAATCAGAGACGGAGCTAGTGTGGGGGCAGTGGGGCCGCAGCCCCCACCCACCCCTATATATATATATATATATATATATATATATATATATATATATATATATATATAGCATTGGATATAATATAAAATAATTATATAACATGTAGCATTGGTATAAGAGCATGTCACATGTTTAATTTCTAAACACACATTTAGATCTGGCAATTTGTATCAACAATTGGTATCAGAGCATGTTACACGTTTAATTCCTAAATATACATTTAGATCTGGCCATTGGTATCAAAACATACTATGTAGATAAAATTTTTGAATATCCAACATAAGATAATTATGGTAAGTATATATGTGTTTTAAATATGAGTTAATACCCATTTTGGTCCCTCGACTATTTGGTAATGCGCAATTTAGTCCCATACTATTAAAAGTACCCAATTGAGTCCTCTAACTTGTAAAATTATACCTAATATGATCCTCCGTTACAATTGCCATCCATCCACCGTTATAGAGAGGGGTAAAAACGTCATTTATCGAATAGTCAAGGGACCAAAATGGGTATTAACTATTATTATCTAATAGTCAAGGGACCAAAATGGGTACTAACTACTATTATTATTATTATTACTAGTAATTCACCCGCGCGATGCACGGAAAAAAATTATATTATTATAAATATAAATAAAAAATAGAAAAACTAAAATATTTTAAATTATTTAATATAATAATATTTTTGAGCTTCCATTGGTCAAGTATTTATTATTTTTATAGAATACAAAATTACAATTAAAATTAAAATTAAAATTAAAATTATAATTTTGTATGGTTAATATAATCTCTAATTATGTGCATATTCAAATAAACTTATAGAGATAATTTACATAATTACATTGATTTATTCTTAATTGTATTTCATCTATATTATAATTTTCACAATACAAATAATAACTAAGATAATTACATTTGGAAAACAAATTTTAAATTTTGTATGTGTAAATTTAAACTCTAATTGAACACATTTTTTATATGATTATATAATATATAGCTATTTTATTTTTCAAAAGTACATTTTTTATATGATTATATAATATATAGCTATTTTATTTTTTAAATGTTGTGTTTTTTTTTTATTTATAATAAAGGATGTTGTGGCATTAATTGTAACATTAATTATTTCCCAAACCATATAGTTTTATTATATAATAAAGGTAATAATATATATATATATATATATATATATATATATATATATATATATATATATATATATATATATATATATATATATATATATATATATATATATATATATATATATATATATTCTACGGAAGGGGATACCCTACATATACACACTATTTGCCTCAACTAAGGTTCAAACCTTACACCTCCCACTTAAGGGAGCAAGTCAATACCAGTGGACTACAAGCCACTTGATTAATAATCATCATTATTAATACCTATTTTGGTCCCTCGACTATTAGATAATACGGAATAATAGTTAATACTCATTTTGGTCCCTTGACTATTAGATAAAAGGACATTTTTGTCCCTCTCTATAACGGTGGATGGATGGCAATTGTAACGGAGGACCAAATTGGGTATTATTTTACAAGTTAGAGGACTATGGATAATTTTAATAGTATGGGACTAAATTGCGCATTACCGAATAGTCGAGGAAAATAGTGCATGATGTATGTGTCGTTAGTCATCAATCTTCAGGATTGATTTATGTAAAATTATACTCCCCCTCAAGATAACAATCTTGATGTCCTATACATTAAATTTCCAAAATGTATAGAGGAACTTTGTAAATAAATATGTACAATTGTCAATGGAATAAATATACTTTATAATAATCACGTGACTCTTCTGGAGTTCACGTGGGTATAAGATTGACACCATAATATCTTAGTCAAAAGATTTCATTATATATTATTTTATCATTTGAGCGACACAATCTTTATTGTCCTTTTATAGGACAATGGGGGTAAATATAGTACAACTAGTATCGGGACATGGCATTATGGGGATACAAAAATAATAGCCAGTACCCAAGTAGCCCATTATGTATTGATTTGTATAAGTATCTAATCAAAATAAAGTATTGGCTAACTGGTGTATAAAAAAAAATTCTTCAAGTAAAAACTCGATCTTCAAGTCGAGATAATACTTATAGCTTTCACAAGCTTTTTATTTCAAAAATCTCAGTCTTTAAACATGAACTGACATTATCAAGCTCTTTATATATTTCATTGATGTTTACACCATAAATATTGACTGAGATAATAAATAAGTCCATTATCAACTCTTTATTGAGCACATAATGGTACATATTATTCCTTCTATATGAGGATAATAACCCCATTCGCAACTGTTTAAAGAGTAAATAATGGCACATAATAATACTTAAATAAATCCTCATTTCGGGAATTATAAATCCATTAGGGATTTTTCAAGATAAATTTAACTGGATATCTAAATTTATTATTATGCCAATTGTACTATGTAGCGGAACTTAATGCCATTTACCGTGTGAGCGTATATTTGATTAAAATCAATTAAGGGTCTCTGCATGAACCCATTGGCTACAAACTCGCTTCATATCTTATCACCTCGTTATTCTTATTTCTCCTTCATGCACACACCCATTTGTAACCTTCAGGGTTAACGCTCAACGGTGTATTGTTATAAAGAGAATTTATTCATTTTAGCGAGCCGAGCTATGCCTTAATTGCTCCTTTATATGTTAAATATTCATGACATTTCCGGTGCCTAACTGGATCCAGATTATCATATAATGAGCAATTTGTAATGTCAATTGTGTTGTCGATAACTATAACCTTTTATAAATGTCTCCCATATTTGTAAAAGTTAATGGCAATTTCTAAAACAACCAAATTTTAGACATTTCCCAAAGATATTTTGATCTGGTCGTTCCGCATCCCTAGTATTACGTTTGTTTGGTGCACCTTTAAATTTTACTAGGGTTTTTCATCATCTGGACGAATGTCTGCATAACATAATTGTTCAATGTTATTTCAAGAGTGACAATGTTTCTTTACTAGATCTAGTATTATGATTCATATCTCTTTCACTGATAGATCTCCTACACTTCTTGTGTCAAGGAGTATCGGTAGAAATATTTGGTCCAAGTTTGGGGAAGGTATATGGGACCTAGTCACTATGTTTATGATCAGTATGATCAATAGATATATTAGGCAGATTATTTGCTTAAAAGAACAAATTGATATCTTTTGAACCTTTGGTTCAATCTAACTAGTATGTTGATTTTTAATATTTGAAGATGAAGATCTTTTCATTCCATGAAAATTCTCGGCATTCTATTAAATTTGGGCTCATATCTTCCCCTAATGCCGTGAAACGAGCTTCATAAAGTATGCAGTCAGCGTAACTAATTATATGCATTGATCCCCTATCATGGGCTCTTGGTATTTAAACAAGAGACGGAGGTTTTTGTGATAGCCCTTTAGAGGTACGCTATGATGGTGATATATGAAAATAGGCTACGTACTAAAATAGTAACGCAGATAGGGAAATGTTTATGTTGAAACCATGTACTAGGTGAAAAGAGGGTATAATTGCGATATGCAGTGAGTTAGACTTGGGTAAAAAAAACTGACTCATAGTAAGGTCAAGAATTGATTGTCAAGGTTCATCTTAAAGGGTGACTTAGAGAATTAAAGTCCTTAATCTACCTTCTGGGCAAATAAATATACAAAAAAAAAAAGTGAAGGCTATAAATTTAAATATCATATACCCAAATCTCATGTCAAAGAGTTTCTATAGTAGAAACTAGTACTGTAAACAGGTCATAGTCTTTAATTGTTATGACATGCAAGCTAAGGTTTAGCAACGACAGGTGCAACCTACTTTTCCAAGCAAGCTCTCATTTTATCTCATTGTTTCATACAAGCATGAAAATATCACAAAATAGCAAGATATAGCTGAAAACGGCAGAAATTTTCAGAATTTTGACCTGGATTGCTGAGTTTTCTGGGGGAAAACGGTAACACATTTTGACACAAAATTTTGCAGATATGTAGTTCAGCAAGTCTAGAACGTACATAAAAATTTCATGCCAATCCAAGGTCTAGAAGTATTTTTTGCAAAATTTTTCCCAAAATCGCGCCAGACAGAAAATTAACTGGCAGCATACTGCAAAAAACTTTACAGAATTTTCTTGGATAACTGGAGCATATTTTCAACAATTTTTTTTATAGATATCAAATAACACAAGTTTAGGTTCTCTAGGAAAAATTTTATGCCAAAAGGAGTTCAAGAAGTATTTTTCACGAATTCATTTTTCAAACTGCACCAATCAAAATTTTCTGAGGCAGTAATTACTATGTGTAAAAACATTCTTCCTAGACACCATAAAATCACCACATATATAATATATGGAGTAATCACGTCAAGTAAGCATATCGCAATATTTCATGTACCAATCATAATGCTCTAAAGGACATGGCATTCATAATTGTTAAGAACAAGGTTATCTAGGCGGACTTTCTAGGCGACAAGCCGCCGACCGCCTAGGCGATGAGTAATATATAATATATAATATTATAAGGCGACAACTAGGCGATGAGAAATATAATATATATATATATATATATATATATATATATATATATATATATATATATATATATATATATATATATATAGTTATATACACTAAATATGCAATAATTTAAACATTCAAATCAAAGTTAAGAACCAACATCACACAATACTATGATACTAAATATCCAATGTCTCAATTCTCAATTCTCAAACTCTCAAGTCTTAAACATCCATTAATTCAATCCCTTTCCCTTCACCACCATCATTATCGTCATCACTCTCAGTTCCCTCATCATCATCATCATCATCATCATCATCATCATCATCATCATCATCATCATGATTTGGGAAAGAATCTTCATCATCTACTTCATCCCTCAAACCTCCCACTGATGAAGTATTGCGACGCCAGGAATATTGTATATGTGCACTCGTGCCTTCACCTGCATTACGTGCATGAGCTCTTGTAGGAAGATTTCTTCCCTCCAAATTGGCTGAAGCACCAAGCACTTCATCAACAAGACTCCAAGTAAGGTCATCACCGACATGAACATTATCATTATGACTACCATCCACCCATTCATTTTCCCATTGAAATTCTTCAAGAACTAATGGGTTGAAGTTGGTTCCTTCTTCACGCCGCTTTTGAAACCGACTAACAATCTTTCGGTTATACTTCACATAAACCAAATCATTCAACCGTTTATGTTCTAGTCGGTTTCTTCTCTTTGTGTGAATCTAAGTCATTGAAAATAAAAAATAATTACTACTTTAGTAACTTAGAAACAAATAACAGTATTAGTCTATTAGTTAGTACTAAGTACTTACGAACTCAAATGTGCTCCAGTTACGTTCACAACCGGCAGATGAACAACAGAGGGAAATAATGCGCATTGCTAATCTTTGGAGCTCAAAATGATTGCCTCCAAAAGCCATCCACCAAACAACTAAAATATGAACACATATCATACTTAGTAAGTTAGTTTATCAAAATTCAAAAGTATAAAACTAGAAATTATTTAAAGTTTAAACTTGTTGTAGTTTAAATAATACTTACAAGGAGTTTTGTTTTTGTGTTGTTTGATGACTAATTGCTTCCCAAAACTTCCTCGCAAATAATCATACTCATCAAATTGATTGGCTATTTTGAGTTGTGTTTCTTGATCTGGAACCATCTTCTTAAGCACTTCATTAAACATGGCACGTTTCTTAGAAGCATATGCACTATCACTTTCTTTTAAATCAAAATAGTGGGCAGGGTTTAAAAACAATGCTGCTCCATATAAGTCAACTCCCATCTGATCTTGCCAGCGTCTATCCACAATATCCATCAACCTTGACAGCAACCTCGGTTGACTTGCAAATGCTTCATTTAATTTCTTCCTTGCAGTAGCCATAGCCATGGCAACCCCGAGCATAGCTGTGATCTCATCACCATCCACGATTCTCAATACAACAAGAATCGGTTGAGAAGACTTAATGCAATCTTCTTCCCCAGTCCAGAATTGAGTAGAAAATACAGAGTCATATATCTTATTTCCAGCTTGTGTGTTTGATAGTTTAGAAGTACTCCAATGATCACTAACAAACAAGCTTTTTAAAGCTTTCTGATGCTTGTACAAACTCTGAAAGGTAAGGAAGGCTGTGGCAAATCTAGTAACTCCAGGTCTCACAAGATCATTACCATCTGTGAACTCCCTCATAACATTTAAGATCATTCCATGCCTATAAATGAAGGTAGTGATGCGCCTAGCACTTTCAATCTTCTGCTTGAACTCAACTAACTTGCCAATGTCTTCCAACATGAGGTCCAAGCAATGTGCCGCGCAGGGAGTCCAAAATAGTGTAGGTATCTTATCTTCCAAGAACTTGCCCGCTGCCTTGTAATTAGCACCATTATCTGTCACAATTTCGACAACATTTTCTGTGCCTATTTCTTGAATCTTGGTCTCAAGTAACCTAGCCAACACGTTGGCATCATGGGATTCGCTTGATGCATCAATAGATTCCAAGAAAAAGGTCCCCTCTGGACTGTTGGCAAGAAAGTTTATCAAATGTCTATTTCTTCTGTCAGTCCATCCATTTGACATCAAAGTACACCCATACCTCCTCCAAGCAACCTTATGTTTGTCTTTCAACAAATCTATTTACTTTTTTGCTTTCTCTAAGAGTGTGACCTTCAAATCAAGATAGCTAGGAGGTTTCCACCCGGGTCCTAATTGTGCAACGGACTCTAACATTACCTCAAAACTCCAAGCATTTGCGACATTAAAGGGAATGCCACACTCATAGAAACAGTTTGCAACATGCATTGTTGTTCTCTCTTTCTCTTCTTTGATAACCCTTGCTACGCCTTTCTTCCACTACTTCTGGGGTTTTCCTAACCATTGCAGCAATTGTTTTTTGTGCTGGTTGTGCAAACCTCAAAGCAGACTGCCTCCTTTTGGAACTAGTCCCCGAACTTGGATGACTAATTGAGTCGTGAGATGATGGTTGTCTTGGTTGTGTTGGTTCCATTGCCACTTCTTTGGAACCATCATCCCCATCATCGTCATCCAAATTTAGTTGCTTGTTCCTTGAATTTTTTAAGATATACTCTCGCATTTCTTTCATAATCTCTGTTGTTGTATTCGGGCATGCAACAACATCTCCATACCCCTTAGCCAAGTGTTGTTTCAATCTTTTAATGCCTTGGCTAATTTGTCTTCCACACAACGTACATTCGATCAATTCTCTTTTACTTAAATCTGGCCAAAATCCATACTTCCGACCGGGGTCTTTAGACTTGGCTTTTCTTTTAGGATCCTTTGATGGATCATAAGTACTTTCGCCCTCCATAACCTGACAAGTAAAAAATAAACAACCTATATGAAACACAATAGAAGCACACTGCCAAGCATATAGAAAAAAAAAAAAAAAAAAAGAAGCAATTATTAGTGTGGCTCACTGCCACACTGCCAAGTAACCAATAGTGTACACCACTACACGGCTACACCCATAATATAATATATATATATATATATATATATATATATATATATATATATATATATATATATATATATATATATATATATAATTATATACAGAATATACACACTACCAAGCATATAGAAAAAAAAAAAAGCAATGGTTAGTGTGGCACACTGCCACACTGCCAATTAACCAACAGTTTACACCACTACACCCATAATGTAATATATATAATTATATACAGATTACAGAATATACACACACTCACACACGACTACAGTAAGAAGAAAAGAAGAAGAAAAAAAAAAAGAAAAAGGAACAAAGCAACAAACACTTTACCTTCAGGAAGAGGTCGCCAGTCGGAGGTCGCATCAGGAGGAGGTCGCCGGTCGAAGGTCGCAGCAGGAAGAGGTCGCCGGTTGGAGGTCACAGCCGGTCGGAGGTTGCAGCAGGAGGTGGTAGCCGAAGTCGCGAAGCAGTGTGTGAAGAGCGAAAGAGACGTTGAAGACTTCAAGTTGAGATTTACGAAACAGACTAAGTCCTAGGGTTTTAATTCCAGCGATTTTTTTTTAAACAAAAACCCGGTTTGACCCGAGTCGAACCAGGCATGGGCGTCCCAGGGCGTCGCCTCGACGACTACGCCCAGGCTCGCCTCGCCAATTTTAGGCGAGGCTGTAACACCCCAGATTTTCAAGACTTTTAAAACTTATATAATAAAGGTAGAATCTCATTAAATCCCAAAATACGATACAAAGAGTACGGGGTGCTATGCCATACCAGAGCTAGAGAACTCGGGTGCACAGGCTAAATTCTAAAACCTCAATCAGTATCAATACTAAATCATGGCACGCAGGCCGAAAGGGAAAACTATCTAAGCTACGGCCCAAGCTTCTAGCGCGCTCCAGTGATCTACTCGTCTGTGCCTGAAAGCCAAATATATCTGTTCAGCGAGAGATGCTGGTAACCCACTCCAACGCGTTGAAATACAATACATATATATATATATATATATATATATATATATATATATATATATATATATATATATATATATATATATATATATATATATATATATATACGAAAACCATTTTGAACATGAAGATATATCCTACGAACTCTAGCTTTTAAAACAGGGATAGACTCAACAGATAGAGCTAAGCACAGACAGCAGTTATACCAAGCATATACAGTTTACAACAGGCAAGACAGATAAGATAAGCACATTTAATAATCATAACCCAACATATACGATCCCCAGTATAAATCCCATAGTCTCATCCCCAAGATACTCATAACAACAACTCATCCATACTTCATCACATAGCACACTTTGTTGGCGCCACAGGACCAATCGCATTCCCATACATGAGGGTCAGCGCATATAGCTCTGACACTGCCCCGCAGCACCCTGCCCCGTATCGCAACACGGAGGGGTCGATCGCAACCGACCGATGAACGGCAGCTCATCATAGTTTGATCGCAACCAAACAGTGGACCGCAGCCCAAGAGTATGTCATCTGACCGCAGCCAGGAAATATGAACCGCAGCTCGTGTAGAAACGTTTGATCGCAACCAAACGGTGGACCGCAGCCCAAGAGTGTAAATCTGACCGCAGCCAGCTTCTGAACCGCAGCTCAGGAATAACCAATCCGATCGCAACCGAATTGGGGTGACATGCACACATAACACATAGCAAGCACATGCAACCCACATTAACACATTGGGAAGGGGGAGAAAATGTATAACAAAACCTATGCGTGATCCTTCACATACTAAGAATGATCCTAAGGGGTTCATGCTTCTTTCACCTAGGTCAACGGGATACCAATTCAACTAGCATGCAATATATAAGACTCACACAACCTACGAACGGTACCCGAAATATCAAACTAGACATAGGCACGATGGACGGAGTCCGTTGGGACACCACGGGGGTCGGGGGAACATCAAATGGGGAAGCCAAAATCCCAAGATGGGGTACAAACTAGCGGGTAGCCGGTGGGTGAGGGGTCACCCGCCGGCGGCGCTATTCCGAGCAGCGGGTGCCCGGCGGGCAGCTGCCCGCTGCCAGCGTTGCCCAACTAGGCCGCGGGTCCCCTACCCCCCACTGACTCTTTTTCACCAAAAACGCCCCGGGAACCTTTGTGGAACCCGAAACCATGCTTAGACACTTTCAAACACAATCGATAACACACGTAGACAATTAACGGATCAAAATCAAGAAACATATGGCACATAACCTATCATGCTTTTCTAAACACAATCAACACCCAATCATGCGAATTCCCACCCAATATACCAAGAATAATACCATACGGATCCACGATATAACCTAGGGTTCTAATTATTTTTAAATCAACAAGAACACAATTCATCTTCCAAAATCAAGATTCGGTAGGAATATCATATAACTATCAAGAACCTCATATAATCATTAAGAACATCAAGAACACCATATAATTATCAAGAATGTCATATAATCATCAAGAACACCATAATTATCAGGAACCTCTCATCATCAAGATTACCCATGGAATCATCCCACCAATCATCAATAATAATATCGCAATTCATCAATACACAATAATATGGGGAAATCCTAAGAGGGGAATCATAGCTATGAAAATAGGTTTCGTTGAGACATGGGTTACCTCTTAGCCTTAATTAATTCCTTGGCTATGAAGGGTCTTTCTTTAAGCCTTCTTCTTTCTTGATTTCTCCTAAGGGGATTCTTGGAACTTCTTGTGTGGTGAGAGATTATGGTGGTGAAAGATCTAGGTGCCTCCTATATCCCTATTTATATATTTAAGACTCCTAATTAGGGTCTGAATGGTATGGGTTTACTAATTCTATTCCTTATAGGACTTAGGGCTTATTTTAGGGATAAGGGTCCATGGTCCATAGTGGACCATATTAATTAATTAAAGGGAATCCTAATCGTAGTCTGAATAGTGAAAGGCCTACTTCCTTTATTCCTAATAGATAACTAGGTCTAGGATTCCTAATTAGAATCTGAATAGTAAAGAGTTTACTTTCTTTATTCCTAATAGGCTTAGGACTCTAATTTAGGCAAGGGTCTACGGTTCATGGTGGACCTTATTAATTAATTAAAGGAAACCTAACCGAATTAAATCATATTTAATTATTATTAACGGGATTAATTAAATAATTAATCCAGGATTGAAGGCCATAACACGGGGTGTTACAGAGGCGATGGTACTAGGCGGGAGTCCTAGCCCGCCCAGACGCCTAGGCGTCGCCTAGATAACCTTTGTTTAGAAAATAAACAGATCCCACTTCTTTAATAAAAATGTAGACCTTTGACAACAAAGAGGGAAGATACACCCTTCAGCTATTATTTGTTTACTTTAGAGCTCTATTGTCAAGTTTTCAGAGATCCTATAAGTTTATTGCTAAAACACAGGATATGAACATTGACACTAGACAATGATGCGTACACATGAATTACAAACATCTTCTGCAGAGTTGGTAAGTAGTAGCTGCTCTAGATCATTCACACAAAAACTTCATTTTGTTTTGCCTAACAGGGATTGCAAATAAGCGTAATGCAACATTTAAGAACTCACATAAAACATGCTTTTGACCAACGTTGCGCGGTTCACTACATTTACAATGAAAACAGCTAGCAGATCTACCATCACACACCATAAATTACATGATAATATATGCGGAGCATATGAAATCAAGTAGGGCAATACTCAAATCAAGTAGAATCACTAGCAAATAGCTTTTCAGAATTTATATCCATAACCTTGTAATTTTCAGTAGGTTAAGAGAAGAGTTACCAACCTCACAACCTTTGACTTCCAGAACTCATCTCTTGGACTGATCAACCTTCCACTGCCACTGATGGAAATCCACCAGTTCCGTGGCAATTGTCGTGACCGCTCTTTGCTAACATTGTCGGTGCCGCCGATGTTTATGGTTCCTTTGCCGCACAACCAAACCACCAGGCCGAGACGTAGCCACGACTGGCGAGACCACAAGTAGATCGCGAAGACCCACCAGTTGATGACCAGTGCCTTCCCGAGCAGAGTCTGAGGTCGGGTTCTCCATACGCGAAGCCAGGCATCAAGGGATGACTGCCACCACC